AGTGAAGGACGTTTGATGATCCATGAATGAACCAGTAAAGAGAGTCATTCCTGAACACTGTAAATCATGTCTCTCTTCATTGCGTGAAGCAGCTGGTGTCAGGCTGAATGAAGGCTGAAGACCGCAGCCTAAACTCAAAGACCTGAACACACGACTCGTGCCAGAGCAGACTGAACATTAATTAAAGAACTGCCTGCAGAGGTCCCAGTTCTCCCACACGGTTCTTGCTCACTTGCAAGTTTTATCTTATTATTTTGTGCACATATAACTCTCCTGCACAGGTCTGAATGGATATTATATTTTTAGAACAATCAGGAGGGTCCGTATCTTTTTAACTAGGTCAGATTTGACAAGGCGGTATGCATAGAGAATATGACAGGTGTAAAGAGAAATAAAAATAGATAAAATAGAAAAAAAAAGTAATCAGAGACGTCCAAAGAAAGAACAAAGTAACGGACGATTTTCAGCCATTTGGAAAGGCAAAGATCTGACTTTTTTTTTTTTTTTTTTAATCAGTGAACGCACTACAGCTAAATATTATTAGGTCACAGTAACAACACTGATACCAATGTCAAAATAGTTAAGAAGAAAATTTACCCAGAAATAGAAAGGCTGAACTTATTGCCTAAAAAATTGCTTTGCTTTTTTTTCCCCGTCTCTGTCCTTTTATCATTTCTCATAAAACAGCTTGTATTTGGAAATATGAATTACCTACAGGAATCACTGACAGAGACTAATATCTTTGCTTGCTAATGATAGTCAGACTAATTGTGATCCTCAATATTATACAGTGCCCTCGCTGATGGGAGTTTAAAATAGTAAATCTTTGTTTTAAATAGAAAAATCCTTACTTAATAATGCTTGCACTCTTCACTCTGTCTCATCACCTCTGACTCTTCAGAGACAGTTTGAAAATCATTTTTAGTTATTACAGGTCTTAAAAAGAAATCAGGAAGACATAAAAGCAATTTTAATATGCAAAATCATTACTAAAACCTACTAAAATGAATTTGTCCAGAAATCTGACTAGAACATGTTTAAACTAAAGTCAAAACTGAAACTTTAGCAAAAAATTACTTGATGGCAACAAAAGTTTCTAATTTAAATGTTTAGGACATTATCCATTTCCAATGTTTATCAAAACTTCAGAAGTTTCTAACCAACTCCTTCATGAGAAGACATTCAGGCTAAAGTTAAATCCAAGTGATGCTTTTATTTTTCTATGCTTACTTTCTTTTTTCCTGGACCTATTTTTATAGAACCATGGACGACTTTCCATGATATAGTTTTGTTATATCTGGAAAGGAAATTTTATGGTAGATCAGAACGCTGCCATGAAGTGCAGACACAGGAGATTCCTGTGTCTGCACTTCATGGCAGACACAGGAATCTCCTGTGTCTGCACAATAAAGCACAATTTACAGCAACAGGCAAACATAAGTTCTAAGGAAGTAAGACAGGCCCAAATAAGGATTTAAAGATCCTTAGAGCATTGTAAAAATGTTAAAAGTCATGCAAGGAAGGTTTCATCTTCGACGTCTCCGGGTTGCAAATTTTCAGTGGTGCTGCACATGGACAAGTTTAAAAGTGACAGAAAAAGAAAAAGAAAACAACAAAGTTCTTAAGCAACAAAACAAAAATATTTAATGCTTCACTAATAGGATTAATAGGATGGATCAAAGAGCGCAAAACAAAAATCATACTTTTGGAACTCTATCTCAACATAAAGTTCTGTAGTTTTGCTAAATGTTAAATGTTTAAAAACTATGAAGTTCTCATACATGCTTTTCCAGATTATTGAGCATAAAAAAGGGCTTCTTTTGCATAAAACTGACCAAAACCAAGTCTTTAAGTCTCAACTAATCCAAGATCTCTAATCTATCCCATAACCTTTGGATTTCTAAGTTTATACAAAATGCAGAGCTTTGCACATGTCATCTAAATCCATCTGCTAAATGTCCTTAATTTCAATGATTACATTTTTTTTTAAAATTATGTCCATTTGAAGAGGGAACTTTCCCTACTTTAACTATTTACTTCGTACAATCGCTCCTTGATTAAGGACCTTGATATATCTTGTATTTCTTGATGGCTCCTTTAAATTCATAAAATCAAACCTGTTCAGGTGTCAAACTCGCTCTTCTCCAGATTTCACTTTTTGCCAGTGTAAGGATTTGCTTTACTGCCTGAAGACACCGAAGGAAGTATCCATACCTTTATGTCAACACGTTCAGATGACTAATTCTCAGTATGTCAACTTAGATCAGTCATTACTTCATTGCTTGCAAAAGGTACAATATTTTGCTATTTGAATATTAAGAGGAACTATAAGCAGAGGCTTATCATCACTAAACTGACTTCCTGTGTTTTTAAGAACGTACATCTATTTATAAGTGCTATAAATGATGGAATAGCTCACCAATCTATATGAACAATAGACATTAGGGTACATTTAAAAACCCACCATGATCATTTGGCTTCACATTTTCTCTTTTTACATTTCATTTCATTTTACAGTTTTTTTTTTTTTACTTTGCAGTGTTTATTCCATTTCTATTTTTGTTTTATTGTTTCCATGATTATCTTTGTCATTATTAGCTTAAGTTTGCTTCTCTTTGTGTCCATTACTTTGGCATATTTTGCTCTATGCACATGGCATGAATACAATATTGCTGACACCGACATATGGTGGACTTTGGGGGCATCATTTACAATTGATTCTCAGTCTCCAATCAGTATTATGTACTATTCAGGACTATAAATAGTTGTGTTTTTCAAGTATTTTAATAGCATTTATGAAGAGACGTAGTGGAAACGAGGGTGCTGACTGGACCCAACGTGCTCAGAGTGGACATTAAACATCAAAATCAGAAACAAGTAGAACAGTTATATCATGTCTGGATGAGACCTTGTCATTGTGAAAACACACTGTGAGTAATCCACCAAGTCTCTTCCTGTCTGGTCAGTTTTATGCCCAGTTTGTGATTGAGATTTACACTCTGTGCCAGATAGACAGAAAACTAAGGAGCCTATAAGTGACCAGTATCAAAGACACTTGGTGGAAGTGTCAGACACTGGTCACATATAGCCAAGCATAAAGAAATTTAGGCAAGCATAAAGAAATTAATTTTATTAAGTATAAAGAAAGTGGCTTTCTTTATCGTTCATAATCTGTTTATATCATTCACACGTTTTTATTATGAAAGTAGCATGTTTCACTAGATTTCTCTAAACCTAATAAATTATCAGCTGTGCTAAAATTACAGGAATTCACTTTACCGCTAATGGCATGTTTACAGAGAACGCCGCGATACACACCTCGCACAAATAAGATACACTAATTGCACCTTTCAGGGACAAGCTTTTAAGCAACGGGGACAAGAAGGTATGGCATTATCCTGCGTGACTAACCACAGAGAGAAGAACATTCAGATACCTGGTTTATTGTTTCGTATAGCAGTAGTCACACACACTCACATACACACACAGATGAAGTGAGGGCTGGCTGCTTTGAGAGCAGATATGAAAAACAGAGAAGTCCATGGTGTCTCTACTGTCTGTACATTTTTCGTGGCAGATTGAGGCTGCAAAATATATCATAATTTATCAATATCGCAACATACATATCAAGAAGATCTTAATGGGTTGTATTAATATGAGCTAATTATTTAAGTATCGTTCTCTTGGATTCTCTACTAACATGCATCTGATGCTATTAAAAATGATGTGAACCTTTTCATCTTCTGTTTTTACTTGTTTGTCTTAAATGTTTTTGATTAAATAACGATTCTGCTACATTGGAGAGTTTTCAGCCATTAGAAAAAAAGCTTGCACAAGGTCGTGCCACAGCATAGTGATACTTAAGTCCAGACATTGACTGGGCCACTCAACAACCTTGAGTTGATATTTAGATATTCTCCTTCATAATGTTCTTGCACGAAGCAGAATTTATGATTCTGTTAACTACAGCAAGCTGACAAAAAAGACAAAAAAAAAAAGAAAGACGACAAAGAAAAAAGGCGACAAATACTTTTCCCTGGTATTTACAATATATACTGATGTCAGAAAAGTAGGCAGTAAGCTTGTCCTTCCTGTGAAACGCTCTCCGAGACTGTGATGAGAGCTTGTTTGGATTCCTGGAATGTTTTATCTGATTTGTCCCCGCGAAACGGTGAGGTTACTGCATATAGTCTGGGAACAATTTTGAGTACAAGTGTGTGTGCATAGAGAGACAAAAGAAAAAAATACAGATTGCTGCATTTCTGAGAGATATTGACTCCCAGCCTGCTGACAGCAGCAACAACTGTGTGGGAGACGAGCTCTCTGCAAGCTATCTGTAACAGATAGCGTTGAGAATTGACCTTGGGATCCTCATTTGAACTCACAGGAGAGATTCCCACACACACAGAAAAAAAAACAACAAAAAAAAACATCATTTCCAAACATGAGACGCATGCATTCAAACTAATGATGCTGCAAAAGAGCAGGATACAGAACTATGTGGAAAGTGTAGCTGCATAAAAATTACTCTGCATTTTCCTAATAGAAAAGATAGATGGAAGGGACTCGACATGTAGAAATTACACTATTATTTGATTCTTATCTGCTTAAACTGATTAGCTTTGATTTCCCCTGATTTTCAGTGCTCAGTGATTTCAGAGTTTAATCTTTGTATGCGATTCCCACTTACAGTTTGTTTCCTTTGAGGGCGGCGTGGTGAAGCAGGTTGAAGCCTCTGTGGTTCTGCTGGGTGAAGTCAATGTTGGGCACTACGACCAGGATCTCAATGATGCTGCGGAAATCCTTGGCAATGGCATCATGGAGCGGCGTGTCCCCATATGAATCCTAACAGAGTAAGTTGACAGGTAGCACGGTAAGTAAAGATGTTGCATAAGTTAAAAGAAAACCGAACCTGGATGCTGTTCAACAATAATCAAAAGCAAAAGTTTGCTTTAGTCTGAAGACCTCTGAATACCTTCCATGAAATAATTTTCCAAGTCAGTGCAAAAGCAGACAGAGAAATAGACCATATGCACATTTGTCACAGATAAAACACAAACACACTCCAGGCTGACATGTTTTTAGTTGAGTAGCCAACCATTCAGGCAGAATAAACTGAGTTAGTTAGGCAAATCAGGGCCAGGCTGCAGGCATGTTAGACCATCTGAAAAAACTCTGTTCAAACAAATACATTATCTTAATGAGACAGTAACACCGGGTCAGAAAATCTATAAATAAATATACTTATACACAGAGTTCCAACAATTTTTTTCATTTCTACGGAATTCAAAAGGAACAAGAGAAAGATTAAAAATGGATGAACGACAGAGGACAGATGAATTCACCCATGGTCAGTTGAAAAATAGGTAATCTATATCCAAAACTTGTCCAGACAGAGTAGGATCTCTGTATCCATGACTACGATGTCTGATGATACAACATTTTGAATTTCTTCCCAAGATATTTCAACAATCCTGTCACTATTTCAATAAGTCAAAGTTGAAACAACCACCAAAAGTGGTAAAAAACAAATATATATCAATTAGAGTTGGGCATGTCACAATAAAATTTTTTGCTGGATAATAAATTGTCCCACTAACGATTGTGATAAATGACAATATTGTTGGTTTGAGAACATTTTCAAGTAATATAATGATAATGGCATAATAAGACACTTTGATTTTGTAAAGAAATCAGCACTCGGACTTGGAGACATTTCAAATAAACAAAATAAAAAAAAAAAACAAATCCAATAAGTAAGATGGAAATAAAAACCACAAATAACCAAACCATAAATAAAATGGATTATCATGAAAATAAAATATTAATTGCCAGAGCAGAAATTATTGAGCTCATTTTAATTTATTATGTAATAAATTGACTAATTGTGACGAGGGTGTTTTTTTGTTTCCACGGCCTGCATGTATAGTACAACATATTGTTGTTAATGCTGGAGAGGTAAGCGCTCTGCACCCGCTCACCTGGAGATTGATGTCAGCCGCATGTTCAGTCAGCACTCGCACCACGTCAGTGAAGCCCTTGTTGACAGCGATGTGGAGCGCTGTGCACATGGAGTTGTTCAGTACGTTGACATTCGCCCCTTTGCTCAGCAGCAGCCGTGCAATCTCAGCCTGGTTACTGAGTCAAAACAAACCAATGCAGGTAAATTATACATCCTTTTTATTGGCAAGTATTCTTTTTTTTTTTTTTATTAAATACGGAATTAATTGTGAACTAAATTAGTAATCGATTAACTGTTAACTGGAGTATACGGAAAAAAATTCTGCCAACTTTTTTTTATTATTTGATTAATCAATTAATCATCAGAACAGTCGACGGAATAATCGATGACTAGAATGATTGTCGGCTGCAGCCCTAATCAAAACATTTAATCAAACGAATGCAGGACTGGAACATGAATGCGCCCTCACCCGAAGGCAGTGTAGTGTAAAGCCGTGTCTCCATCTTCGTCTTTGACCTCGACGGAGCTGTTGGCCTGCAGGAGGGTCTTCACCACCTCTGTGTGGCCTTGGTGAGCGGCGACCTGCAGAGCCGTCTTGCCTTGGTTCTTGATATCCACCTGGCAGGAGCACAGACACAGCTGGAGATTCATCCGAAGCAGAGACGCAGCGCGCACCAACAGAGCTGATCAAACACTGGCAGGAAATAATCTGCGTATGGACAACCGTGCTCATCATACACGTGACGGGAGATAATCCCACCAGGCGGTGCAGTCATGGCAGAACGGAACCGAGGGGGAACAACAAACACAGCAGCAAAAGTGTTCGTCCAACTTAAAACCTTTCCACTTTAATAACAACAAACTTCAACGTGCTTTACACAGGTTTGAAGCAATTAGAGCTGAAACAATCGGATGAATAAATTAGGAAAAAAAAAAAGTTGTCAACTAAATTAGTATACAGACTTAAACAAAGGTGAAGAAAACAACATATTCAGAACAGTAATTAAGCCGAAGCTGTACAAAAATATATAGATTTTTTGTTTTAAGATAAAAATGTCTATAAATATGTTTTAGCCAAAGCTCCTCCAGTACTAAAGTTTTAGCTTCACCTGGTTCAGATTTACTAAAGGAATACTAGTGTAGAAATTTAAGAAAATGTTCATTTTCTTTATTTGTTTATTTCCATTTTTTTATGCATTTCTAAAACTGTATTTAAAAAAGGCTAATAGGGTTTAATGAAAAATCTGTAGAATGTGTGATTTTTTTTATCTGATTAATCAATTAATCATGAGAATAATTGATACATTAATAAATAAAATAATCATTAATTGCAGCTCTAGAAGTAGCAGAGAAACTAAAATGCATAATTTATAAGTGTGTAATAAACTTGTGTTTAACCGCTCCAAATGTTGAGGTGGCTTTAATGTGAAAAAAACGTTAAAAACTTCCATGGGGTGTCGATAGTTTTACGAGGCACCGTACCTAGACACGCTTTCCAAAATACTCGAAGGTATAAAAACAATAAATAACAATAAATTTTATTTGTAAAAAAAATATAGGCATAAAGATTTAAGAATCAGTATAAAGAGACGTCTGTCAGGATGCAGCATGTTTAACGTGTTTCTCCTCAAACAAGAGTTCAGATTGTTAAATTTTTTTGTAGCCTCAGTTTATAAGTACTGCACATGGGTTATGTGGAAAAGGTCTGTTTTTTTCCCCAAATCACTGGGAAACAACACGTTCTGTCCGACTGAAGGTCACAGAGCTCCATTTACGAGGTTCATTTAATCCTTAGAAAGAATTTCCCCTGCACATAAAACACAGCAATGGTGTAGTCATTTCTTTGTGAAGCAAGTGTAAAGGTATGAAAAAGGTAAAAAAAAAATATATATATATATATATAAAATAAAATAAAAAAACAGCTATATCACAAACAAAGTGTATACTGTATTTCATTAGAAAGGCACTTATATACACCAGAAGATATGGTTTTAAAACTGGGGTTTTCAAATCCAGTCATCAAGGGCCATTAATGTCCCGTGATCTTTAGATGGGTCTCTGAGACACATCTTAACGCCGCAGGACACCGGCCCTTGAGGCCCTTGAGGGCCTTGAGGGCCTTGAGGGCCTTGAGGCCCTTGAGGGCCTTGAGGCCCGGAGTAGAAGATCCATAACGTAAAAATTTTTTTAAAAAGCAGTGGTTAGCATTTTCCTAAATTTGTATGACTGTTTCCAAGCAAAGCTTTGGGGAACTCGGCTAAACATGCTGGTAATCCTGATCAATCTGTGCTTTCTGGCATCATTTCCGATGTTCCTTATCTTTTTATCACAAAAACATATGAAAGGCTTTGAGTTATACTTCCCTTTCATGCTTTTTTAGATGTCTGGATTGAGATTTTACAATTACTACTATACACAAATGCCAAATATGGGGAAAAGTTTACAAGTGACATTGTTAACACAATGACATAAATTGAATTAACCAAATAAAAAATTAAAAAAATAACGAAATTATGAGACTTTTGACCTAGAAGGCAAAAGTCTTGTGGTCACAATGGGAGTAGATCCAGAGTTCTCTTGTGGAGACGGGACCATCCAGAAGGTCAATCATTGCTAATGCTAATGCACTCCACCACTAAAGTCAATATATCAACAAAGTATTGAAGGATAAGTATAAACAGCTATTAACGGTTGTATGTATGATTTATTTCAGTCGTTTTTAGATTGTTTGATTAATTTACAACAAAAAACTCCAACAGATCATTTCTACTTTGTCATTATTGTGTGCAGAAGTTTTCTGCATTTCTTTCTGCTTTAGAAAACACACGTAACAAAAAGAGGAAAATGTGAAAAATAATCAGAATGCAAAAAAAAAAAAAAAGAAGAATCTGTCTGCACATCAACTCGCAGTTTTGTCTCTCGAATCAATGAGTCACACCCCAGACTGCAGCAAAGCGAAGGCATGTTGCGCTAACCTTGTCGGGATACTTCTGCACCAACTCCCGCACCTTGTTGGCACTCCCGTGGGCTGCCTCGATGACGAGCCGGCCCGGGTTGTCCTGCTCCGTGGACTGAGACAGCAGCTTCTCCAGCACGGAGATGACGGTACCTGAAAAGATAGAGGAAGAGGAGCAAGGAGAGGTTGTGGGAAGGGAAGACACGAGAAGGAGGGAAAATGTTAGTTTCTTTAATCCAAACATTAACCGCAAAGGATGTTCGGAGAGGGGGGGCGCAAAATCTGAATGCTGCAACGGTTAATGAATCTGTCAGAACTGAGCAAAACCAAAGGAATGAGTCAAAATGTCCCTTCCATGCAAAGTGAATCTGACCACACACACACACTCACACGTTGGCATGTTAGCACCTTTCCATCCAGTGAGGCGAACATAAACACAGAGTATGCCATCATCAAGAGGCTGCTGAGAACTTCAGACATGATGACAAATGTCTGCTGAGCTGCCAAAGCGTCTTGCTGTCAGCACACTGGACCGTAACATGCTACGGGGAAGAGCGCTTAAACAAACAGACACCTTGTTCGCACATTAATGGAAAAAAAAAAAATAAAAGGAAAAAGAGAAGGCCCTTATTGGCAGCCTGTGTGAGGAAGCATGCAAAAGCAGAGATGGAGCTAGGAGGAAGGCTGGAGAGGACTGAAAGAGCATAGCGTTTGAGTCGGGCCCCCTGGATTCCCGCAGAGGCCTTACTTCCAGATTCATTGGGGTTCTCGGCCGTCATGAGGTTGGCATCAACCTCTGCAGGCTGGGCCATAAGGCACGCCGGGTTGAACGTCCACGTCTGACCTCCAAACGCCACCCGCAGGTCACCGTCAGCGTAAACTTTCAGCACCTTTCCCACCTGGCCAAGCACCTACAGACAAAAGGCACCAAGTTAACAAACATCCTGAAGAATGTAGTCTGGTTACTATTCGTGTTGTAATTTAGAGATGTTCCATTTCTAATTTGGATACAGGATCAGAAAGGTTTTACAAAGCAGAGTAAGAGCAATGTGAGAAGCTATTTAAATGGAGTTGCATTTTTATGACATGTCCAGACCTATCAGTGGTTTAAGGCATAGTGAGAGAAATAGACTTTTAGTAGATAACAGTAAGGTTGAAGGTCTTACAGCAAAGTGTCTACTGTTCTATCCATCTCTCTGAGAACATACTAGATTTTGAAATGTTTGCAGCCTTTTTGAAATCAGAAAGTATTTTTATTGTCCAGAGAAAACATACATATTAAGGTGGTTTGGTGATGCACAAACCTCATTTACCTCCAAAATAAGAAGCTAACAGCTTAATATGCTAACGTATTTTAAAATAAAAAAGTCTTGCTGTACAGCCTCTCCCTGATGCTAACATAAATAAGCACAACAGAAAGGCTAGATATAAATGTATAACACTTTTTATAGTTACTGTTCTTAAAAAATAATGGAAAAAAAAAAATCTATCTGTTGAAGTTGGTTCTAGAAGTTCAAAGAAATCAGCCACAAAATTATGATCGGTGCATTTTAGTTGTATGAGTGAGGTAAGTCAGACATGGGGTGATGATCAAGTTAAAGTTATAAAAAGGCAAGCAACACTTTCACAAATAAAAGTTGTGATCATATATAGCCCAAAGGAAACTTTTTTTTTTTTTTTTACATCAGAATATGGACTTTTCACCAAATAATTTAATTCAATTAAGCATCTTTCTCTTTTTTAAAGGAAGACTGCATTAATAGGAACTCAAAGTCTCAAGACGATCTGTGTAAACTTTAGTTCTTCGTTTTACTAGCCCAGAAATCAAAGCATATAAAACTAGAGTTAGATAGAAAGTAAAACTTAGCATACAGGAGTCATGCTGTCCGTCCACTCTCCGTGGCCAGCCTGAAGTCTCTTCACATTTTCCAGCTCATCCAGAACTTTAACCAGTTCGCCAACTCCAAAGGTGTTCACCTGTCGGAAGGGGGAAAACACATGAATAAATCTGGGGAGCTAAATTTAAATCATATTGAAGATGTGATCAGGTTTTCTGTGATTCCGTACTTTGGTGAGAGCTCCTGGGTGGAAGGTCCAGCGGATGTTGTTGCTGTACTGGACCCGGACGTCTCCTCTGTCGGTTATTCTATGAACCGTCCCGATCCGACAAATGTACTGCAAACATAAATAGGTTGTGTCACTCCAGGTTCCCCCACAGCTGCTCTGACCTCAATGTTGCCTTTGGCAGCTGTGGCTGGAAACATGAATGCTCCGTTTGCCTTCACTTTATTAGGGCATCCACCTGAACCACTTATATAACATAAAGTCTCTGCGAGTCACGCGGGCGTACACGCTGGACTTGTGACTGCATTCTCACTGAATATGTGCACAGGACAAACCAACTAGAAACCAAAAAGAAGTGCATTTTGCACTTTACATTCCGAGGAAACCAAGGTGCCTGTTCTCATGAGGTGGATGGGATGTGTCTCGTACCTCTGCCATTTTGGGATTCCACCCTCCGTGTCCTTCCTGCATCTGCCGCAAGATCTCCACCTCCAGTAGACATTTGACTTTGTCTCCCTGCTGAAAAGAGTGGCCATCAGCGCTCTCCTGGCGCTGGAGCTCCGCATGCTCACCTGGATGGGGAGGAATCGGCAAAAAGACACCATCAATGCTCGGGGGGACAGATTCAGAAGGATAATCATTTAAATATTGGACTTAATGTTTCTACGCTGTCAGGTCTTGAATCGAAGTCAAAAGTTTTGTTTGGGCAGACAGTTTTGCCTTGTAAAGCCATTTCTGAAAATGTAAAAGTTTCCAACATAATGACGCTAACTAAAACAAACTAAAACATTTTGTTGTTGAAATTTACTGCAAATATCCTCAAAAAAAAATAAAAAAGCTGCTTAGTGACTTGTATTAAATGTCATCCAAGGACAAACGCAGCTGATGGAAGACTGATGAGTTTCTACAGATTAAAACTAACATATCAGCAGCCGGGAACAGGGTTGTGGAGAAGCTTAAAACAGAGAATAGTAAATTACTAAAATAAATGTTCGTTGCAAAGCTGGTCCAAAACTGGATCCAGAATTTGCTGACAAGACCTGAACATTGGTAAATAAAGATACAAGTAAATTTGTAAATTGAAAATCATCTATTATTTTCCTACTGCTACTTTGCGTTGGTCCAGTACATAAAATCCCAAAAGAAGGACAAAGTGTGGAAAGATGAATATTTTTGTAATAGAAACAATACATCTTACTGACCAAGTTTAGGTAGGTGATCTTTGTAGTAGAAGCCTCCTTGGCCATCCGACACGTACTTCAGGTCCACTTTGCCTTTGTGGCCCATTCGGTAGACATTGGTGGTGCCATTGGACCAGGTGACACTGGCCACGCTGCGGCCAGACTCCGTGTCCCAGCCACGAATGTCCACCACTTTCCCAACCTTACCCTCCCCACCTAAACGCACAAATACAAATACACAAACAAACAAAAAAAACGCACACAAAAGAGATGTGCAAAAAGCGGAGCTGCATAAGTTTGTGGGAAGAAAAGCTCAGTGAAATTTAATTATGTTTCAGAATAGCAAATAATAGTTATGAAAAAAAAACACAGGGTGGAACAGAAACATGCAACACGTGATGTTTCCATGGATTAAACACTTGACAAAACACACTTGCCCATTATTTCTTTAAATTATTCTTTCTACACATATATTTCAGAGCCATTTTGTCAGAACATGTATTTTATGATGTCTTTAAACCATTTAAGTCACTCGATTGCTTTACTTCTAATCAACTCCAGCTAAATCAGTGAACTACATAATGACTTGTTTGAAAAAAGGGGAAGCTGAGAATGCTCAGAAAGGCCCACATGCACTGGCTGAACACACCATTTACCCTGATGAGTGAGTTAACCAAACCCCAGGGCAGAAACCAAAAGGACATTTTGACTCATTCAGATTCAGACAAGCAAAAAATAAATTATGACCACTCTGTCTTTCTTTGAAGGGAACATCACCAAGCGAACATTTTTATTTCAGTCTCTAATCATGAGAGCAAAGCTGTGCTTATCTGAAAGAGGAAGCATTACAGACAGAAACATGACAAAGTCACATTGTGCAAGAACATGTAAGTGCGAGTGTTCACAGATGACAACTAACACACAAATAACTGAACCACAGAGTTCAAGTAATGGGACATTTCCCTCTCTCCCTCCCAAATAGAAAAACAAAAAAAAACCACGTTATAAAACAAGGATTCGATAAAGACACTGACACAAACAGGCTGGCGCATCTGTGGGACAGACTCAGATGACTCACTGGCAGTGTAAGTGCACACAGACACACACAGATGCAACATTTTTCGGGTTATTGAGGCGTGCGGTTAGAATGGTATTCACATGGTGAGGCATTTTGAACACATACAGTCCCATGTTTAAAGCAACAGCACAAAACAAAGAGGAATTTCAAAATGAATACAACCAGGTCGGTAACGAGAACAACTCCGACCCCCCTCGCCCCTCCTCCTTTAAACACACAGACACACTCCACTCACCGTCTTGGTTCCCCCAGTCCCAGTCTGGTCCACGGACGACTTTAACGCCCTGGAAGATTCCTTTGAGGATGATGCGTGGGAGGTTCTGCCTCGGCGTCAGGTTCACTCTGTGATGGAGAGAAGGAAAATGTGTGTCAGCTCACACCTGAGCAGGCGCCTTGAACTACTGGTTTTTCTAATAGGTATGATCTTAGTGCACACTGAGTATACCAAGTAAGACCACAGCAGTGGACATTTCAGAACAGCTGACTCACAGGACTTAGCTTCTTCTATTACATCGTAAAACAAAAAAAAAGAAGAAAACTCTTCATTGATAATGTATTGGTTTTTTGAAGGAGGCGGTTACATTATGTAGCCAGTTTTTATACAGGAGTTGAAATTCTGCAAAAGTCTATAAATGTACTAAATTACAAAACTTTATTCTTCACTTATTACTTCCCTATTGTGTGGAATGGTGGGGTTCCAGACAAAACAACAACAATCGATAGTTCACAACAACGACATGTATAAATGCATGCCTGTAACAAGGTGCACAAGGTTTTATAATGCTGATAAAAACTCCAACAGTCAGACATTACACAGTCACACACACACACAGAAACAATACTGCACTTTAACTTTATTCCACCTTCATCATTAGATTGTCAGGTTGACAAAAACATCGGTGCTATAATGCATCCATTTGGTTATGCTGGCAGAACGTGAGACATATTAAAGTCGAGGATTTAATCTACTGGTCCCTCATGATGGAGTGCTAGTTCTGCTTTAAGAAACAAACAAATGATTAAAAAAAATCTTTCCACGTCTTTTACAAGTATTAAAAAATAAGTCAAATATAAGATCAAATGTCATGAATTATAAAAGCATCATCCAGAGACCAAAGTAGTTAGATATTCTTTTTATTTAAAAAAAAAACAAAAATCTGAACAGTTTTGGCCTATTACTTAAATTCATCAAAACTAAGAGCTCGAATCATGTTGAATCTACAAACTGCTCAATAAACAGCTTGTACTTGGATGCACTTCTGTGAGCTTAAATAAACACAGATAAAGGTTAGAGAGAAAAGCTTTAATTCAAAACTGAAGACAATTATGTAATTTCTTCTTGTTCTTTCGGATTGTAAACTCCTACGTCTGCCCTGGAGCACACTTTCTCTACTTAATGTCTAATCATCCTTGGGAAAAAGAAAAAAGAAAAAGAATTGTCAAAACTAGAATTGACCTCAGAAAACAAGACATTGACATTCTATAGAGAAAACTGAGGCATACCTTATTGTGAAGATTTGGTCAGGCCTGGTTGCAAAGGAGCTGCCTATTCCCATACTTCAACAGGATCCAGTACCAGCTTCCATTGCAACCACACAGCTCTCTGACGAACGCAAAGTCATTTAAAATCAGGCGGAATTTAAAAAGAAAAAAGACGAACAGCTTTTATGAGCACTCCTTCTTAAGGACACAGACGTTTTCTCAGCATATCTGGTCCCTTTCATGCTAAGTTTTTGTTGCCAGATACATTTGCAGGATCCTCTGAGCTACGGCGGTAAATAGCTGCTCATTTGGCTCGTAAAGCCAACTAACAGTAAATCTCAGCGTGTGGCTGAGGTCGGGCAGGTCTGTGCAGAGGTTTTAGCCTAATCCTACACAGCAGAGCGATCAGAAAGCACCTTAGGGCAAGTCATAAACATCCACATGCTGCCAAGTAAAAGCCAACGTAAATATACAAATGCGGCATCTATAAAATGAAATAAGGTTATTTTTAGAGCATTACGGGTGGGAAAAATGATGAGATTGCATTTTGTCACGCAAAACTGATTGATAGGCCGATTCAAATGATCAAAACAAACAAGAGTAGCACTGCTTACGACAGCAAAGCTTCGTTATTGCTATGAAGCTTTAGCAAAAAGCGGATGTGCAGTGACAGATGTTCTAGTTTTATGACAGGGAAACGTGACCTCAGCGCTTGACATTTGTTTTTAATTGCAGCCTCTCTCCCCACGGATCAACGTTTGTAATCCTGCTGAACCAAATGTCAACCCCGATCACAGAAAGGATCAAGAGCAAAGACCTGCACCTACTGACACACAGGCAGGTTCAGCTACCACTCGTCAATACTTACAACAAACACGCCAGAACAAAGTGCAAAGTGAGCCCTGTGTATTAAGCTACTTCTCTGATTAAACCCGGCAGCTTGAAAATGGAAGGGACGTCTCAGGAGTTTTGAAGTGAGGTTTTGTATGAAAGATATAAGCAGTTAGTATCTTATCTGCGGTAGATTTTGGTGGCATCATTTAGTAGAAATGAAGCCATTTAGTAGAAATGTTAGGTTCAACCTGAGCTGAACCTAACAGCTCATCAGAAAAGGGCCAAGAGTCTAAAGTAAAAATCAATACAAAACATTTCACTTACCAATCAACATGACACTGCTGCTTTTCATACCACTTCCTTTTCATATTAGATTTCATCTAAGGCCACTGGTGTTGCACCAGCTACTACATCTGTGTCATGTCTACATAATTGTTGGTTTGTATGTAAATAAGGCAAATAAGCATCTCGATTTATGCTAAACAAAGATACTATATTATTTACTGTGTATATAATGTGAGCTGCTTATAAACTTTACACAGAACCTCACTTTAGAAAGTATGATCTATCCCTTTAATATCAGTGCCTTCTGAGGTATGCTAGCCGGTAAAAAATATGTCCAGATTAAAACAAATGGGTCTCGTTAATTTCTTTTAACACATTCAAGAACAATTAAACAGCGAACCAGAGCTGAGAGTAAGGAAATGAGAAGCTGCATGGAAAATTTAAAGAATTTTGCAAAGAAAACCAATTGTTCCCTGCAGCCGAAATGAGGCAAAAATATTTATTAAAAGCTCGACTTAAAGGTTACAAAATCAACATAAAAAATAAATAAATAAATAAATAAATAAATAAATAAATATCGCACCCTGTTATGGGTTTGACGCAAGCACAGACTGGAAAACAAACAATGATCCTGTGGCAGCAGTGTAGTGCTTTATGTGCAGAGTAAAGGATTAGACAGAGACTTGATCCGATTGGTTCCCTGGAACTGCATGTGTGTTGTTTGTGTAAGAAAGAGCCGATTAACTAGCTACAAGCCATCCCAGCTATTTGTAAACATATGGTCCAGACGTATGCCTCCAGATGCATTGTCCAGCAGTCACAGAGATGTTCCACAGTCTGACTCCGCATGAGCATCGAGCTTCATGAAATGGATCACTGACGGAGCTGCCCTGGACTCCAAATGCAAAATAAGAAACAATATTTATGTACACATATGAATAAAAGATGCTTTGCCAGCATTAGATCTCCTTCTTCCTAAACCTGTTCACGATTCGCCTCTCGATACTACCTGGAAATCTTCTCGGAAACTGAAATTCTTAATCCGAACATCTTAGAATGGTAGCATGATAATCCATTTAAATCTGATGTAATTATAAAGAGACACTTGTCCACGGTACATCCGGCTCACGTCGCACACCATGTTTACGAAAGCGAAACTCATCACACCGTCGGGAGGCTGGAGTTTTACCTGCCCCGTTCATTAACCGCAATTCCAACAATTTGCCTTCAAGGCGTCACGCATGTTTCCATAATAAATAGTCTAATAACACCCCTTTCATAAATCTTTCCTGGCTCTAAGATAAGTCACACATATTAGAAAACCAAGCTAAATTTGGAAGTCTGGGCACACAGCAGTGTGTCTCATGATTGCCAGAATATAAATCAGTCTTTTGAAATGCTGTCAATGAAATTTGGGTCAATGTGGTCTAAAAATAAAGAGCCATTGTGTGTTAAAATGGGGAATACATATCGCTCGCCGTTTGTCTGACAAGTACAGCAAATAACTTTCATGTGACGTCCCGAATGTGAAATCAGTTTCAGTGTTGGTTAGAATCCAAAATATCATTTTTGGAGAAATTTGCAAAGTCTGCAACTGGAAACAAAGTTTAATTTACAAAAACAAATACATAAATATCCCTCATAAATATAACCATACAAATGATTCGACGCAATCAGCCAATCTCAACAATAGTGTCATAAGCACATTCTCATGAGATGTTGGAGAAAGTGCTGGGGGGAAAAAAACGACTGCAAAGATAAATTTAGCTGTTTACAAATATGGTGCAAAAAAAAAAGAAAAAGAAAAGAAAGAAACACGGATCCAGGTTGACAACAGACCAAAAACCCAGAGCAATAAACCAACTAAAACCAAAAAAGGAATGATTAGCTCATGTGTTACTCACTGAAGAATAAAATAATTTAAGGGCATAGTGGTTACAAAAAAGCATGCTTCTGTAAAAACTACGGTTAAATTAATCGCCATTTATTAGGGATGCAATGGTGTGAAAAGGTTGTGGCATTTCTAGAATGCTTCAAATAAGAATACACAAAAATGTATCAATATCTTATTAATTCAACAGTAAAACAAGAAGATTAAAACTGGTGAATTATTTGGAAAAGCCCTAAAACATGTCAGCCGCTATAAAGACTCGTTAGCATTTGAGGCTAGTTGGATGTTACAGGCAGCTGGGTTTGGACTTGACTCCGTTTTCCTCCATACCGGTGAAGATTGCCTTTAGCTTGTGCATTATTTCAAATGAGTAATTACACAAAACTTTTGGTTGGTCAACCTTTCTTTGTCTCTGGGTAAACATACTGTGAGAACCTCATGGCTTGCTTTGTGCGAAACCAAAATGAAGTTTCAAAAATAAAACATACTGATGTAAGAAATGTAAACGGCTATCTACAAAGGTTTACTCAGTGACATCTATAACACTGAATTCACTTCACACCAAACTGACTGAGTCACTGTCTTTTATTCATTTACCACATTAACATACAGTCCCAGTTTGTGGCTGTATAAAAGTCGCCTCTCAGAGAAAAGCAAAGTGACAGAAACCCTGAGTCCTGTCAGTGATGTCAACCCATTCAAAGGTGATGCTGACAAATATCTCAAAATAGATCCTGTCAAATTTCACTTAAACCAACAGACTAAATGGACTCCAGTGTTTGTAAGGCCATTATAGTTCAGAAGCAGGTTTCCTCTATTACTGGACCTTTTTGCTTTTTCTTCTTCGGGAAATAATTTCTACTGTTAAAAAAAAAAAACAACTGAAAAACTTCTGTAGGTTTAGACAATTACTTTAAAATTAGGATTTTATTTGCAGCATTACTAACACATCTAATTTGGATGCTGAAACATTCAGAGTTCCTTTCTTTGGAAGTAAGGGGCCAAGCCCAGCTCCTGAAAAACAACCCCACACCATACATAATCCCTTTGAGATATTTAAGAGCGAGAAAATTTCACAGTTCCTCGCTGGAATTCACTGAGCTCCTGAGAGCGATCCGTTCTTTCTCAAATGTTGGTAAAAACAGTCTGCATGCCTAGGTGCTTAATTTTATACACGTGTATACACCTGTAATTTTATACACCATGGCCACAGGAAGTTCCAGTCACTTCCTGTGGCCATGGAAGTGATGGGAACGCCTAATTACAATAATTTGGATGAGTGAGCAAATACTTATGGCAATGTAGTGTATGTTTAAAATGAAGAGAGAGGAAGAACAGCTTCAAAAAGTTGTTTATAAAGGAAAATGTTTGCAGTTGATGAGGATTAATTGCTACTATATGAATTAATAAAGATTATCGCAAGAAGGCCAAATAAAAATCTTTTGAATGTTTGTTGCATTTTCTTATGCTACAGTTTCAAAGAGAAACCAGAATCAGCTGGTTTCTATCTGAAACCAGCTGATGGGTCAAAGCTGTTCAAAAACAGAGATTGCTACAAAACTGATAATTTCACAGTGTGCTAGTGCTGTTTCTATCTTTGTCTAATACTAATCATTTGTTCTTAATAAAGAAAATTACATTTTAATTCTGTTTGAATGTTAAATGAAGAAATCACTTAAGATCATTGATGTAACTCCTGTTGCGTTCTTTCACCAACCAACGGTGAAGAAAGCAAAACCAAGCACCCAACTAAAACATAAATAATTCACTGTACTTTGAATATATGCATCTCCCTTACAATCGCAAACATTTTTGCTTTATTGAATTGTAAATGTTCTAAATTGTAGATTACAGGCCAAACCACTTTTCCCCTTTGCCAATCTGTAATCCTGTTTTGTACCTTCCTATCTCACATATGTAAATGTACCATGTTCTACCAATGTACGCAAACCATATATTAATTTATTTATCAATGTAGCCAGGTATTTGTATTCAATACGATGACACATTATTATTAAAATGCTCAAATCTCACCTATAATTTCATGCAATGGAATATAATTATATAAAAATGCTGACCTATACAATATTTCCCAGATATTTTACTTCTAATCACTGCATGGATTAGTTGGTTAGTATATGATTAACCGAGGCTATATCTCATGATACAGATTAAAAAAAAAAAAACAATCATTTTGCTAGTAGATATTGATTACTGGAAATACATGCTTACGTTTCCTTAAAGTAAACTGAGTAGATAATAGAAAAAAAAAATCACTGAATCTTCAGTTGTCTGATCTAAACTGTAAATGTTAAAAATAATAAAACTGTAAATGTTCAAAAATAATAAAAGGTGCAAATGAACAGAACCACAAACACCGGGATGCGAGTAAAGCCTAATTGGGTTATTTTTCCAAATCAGGCCTCCCATCACCTTTTGTTTTGGATTTGCACTGAAAAAATACCCGGGCTTCCTGCTGCTCTTGTTAGTTATTCGATTCTCTCATTTCGTGTTTACTTCCTGCCTCATCCCAGCTAGGTTCTGACCAGTTTCCAACCTCTCGAGGGGCAAAAACAAACCAAAAAAGGAAAAACAACAAAACCTGATGACTCGGTCACATTGAAAAGAGCAGTGAGTCATGATTCCTTCACCTATTTGCAGCATTCATTGGACAAGCAGGCTCAGGGAAATAAATGGAAAGGGGCTGGACCTGCACCAGGCTAAACTCTAGAAGAAATCTGGGTCATACATATCACCTCATTAAAATGAGAACAGGCCATCCAGCTGACATTCAGACAGAGCCGCGAGCCGTTTGGAGCGTTGCTGTGAACTGATGCAGAAGAGAGGATTCTGAAGGGACAACTCAGTCGAGTAAATCTGGGTTCACAGGACACTTGCAGTCAGCTCACTAAACATTTCTACAAATCTAGGCCACATGTGGTTTGTCCGAGCTGACAAAAGAACAAAGCTGTTTGAAAATATGTGCACTGCTAAAAAGACAAACAAACAAAAAAAAAAACAATAAAAATCTAAATTATTTACCGGTAACTGCAGTGACAATGATGTAGATTTGCTTTGTTTTGTTTTTGTTTGCTTTACCCAAGAACGCTTCTCTTCAGCTCCTTGAAACTCGCGTGCAATTATTTTGCAGTAGCAGACAAGATTCATTATTTACTTGAACAAAATACACTAAAAGACACCGCAATGGATCCCAAGATGGGAGAAAGACACTAATGAATTGAACATAAAAGTAAGGTTTTATTTTAAATGAGGATTAAATTTTTTTTAAGGCTTTCTGAAATCCTGTTCCATGCTGAAACAGAACCGTAGTTCTCCATACTCTCTTGGGGTTATTTATAACTCATTGTGCTTCATTTTAAAGACCACCGTTTTTCTCACTGTTGGTGGGTATTAAAACAAATTTAATACCCACAGTCTCAGAGACAACATAACAGTCCTACAGCATTATAGATGGGATGTGCTTTTCCTGGTTTTAGCCTCTAACGTTTGTGCCAAGTACACATTACTGGGCACATAGTAACGTGCCAAGTAATCTTATGCGTAGTAAAATTAAGAATTTTACCATGCGCTTAAACTAAATATCTTTGGGTTACACGTATTATCTGTCTTTTTTTGAGATGTCGGCAAATTTTGCATAATTTTATTTAACATTTCACAAACCACTTAATTAACTGTGAAGATAATCTTCTGCTTATTTGGAAACAAACCTGATTCCAACTAGCAGCTCTAGCCAAAAGCTGATGGAGGCATATGAAAGAGGATATATGCCTCTCTTTCATATATGCCTTGTTTAAATAAATGTGAATAAGATACATTTATATACTTGTGATAAAAGCAAAATTGACACCAGGGGTGTTATGATCACCTGAAGGTTTGTTGCATTATAACTAGTTAATTAGGGAAAGCAACACCAATTTTCAATGACAGTTCTTATATAAACAGAGTCCATCTCTGATTATGAATAGTAATAACATGGCTAATTAGCAATATATTTAACAAAGCAGTAAACATTTCATAAATCAGTAATCAGTCTGGAATATTTCCGTCCAAGTTTGACCTGCTGATACGAAGAAGCTTTTACGCATCATCTCATACTGATGTGGTCCTGCTGCCTCTTTTACATTTTGTTATCAAACAAATAAGGACTTTTTTTACATTTCAAATTGTATCTTCATAAATGTCTATTCAGGGAAGAATAATCCAGCCGCGGTTAACTGAGTGTACATGTTTTAGATTTTCAAGCTGGAGACATTCAGATGCAGCTCTGAAAGCTGCAAAATTCTCCTTTAATTGGACGTCAAGTTGAAAAACGTGAATTTGACTCCTTTCTGAGCAACATTACTCACCTGTGACACAGACCTAGATTTTACTACATTTCTGCACCAAACAACAGTCACACTCCCTGCTGACGAGACACACAATCAACCAAAAGAAAGCAAAAGAAGGTGTAAGTGACAGACGACTGTTTTGAGTGCATCCATATTAACCATATAAAAAGTGAAACTTGTCTTCCTTTTTTGGGCTGGAAAAGATTTGAGCCATGAAAGGTTCTTCATAGATTCTTACAAAGTCATTGAAATTTAGAGGGTTTTCAAATTAAAGGCGAAGTGCAGCACTCACGGCTGGGAATGGGCCGTCTCATAGCGCTCAAACGGATGGCTGAGGTCGTGCTTGTTGTTCATGTAACACTGGGTACACAGGTCGTAGTCGAAGCACACTTTGCACTTCCACCGCATTCCCATGATGCCATGCTTCTTGCAGCTGTCACAGATGATATTGGAGTGACGGACTCCTGCAAACAGAACAAACGGTGAAGACAAGGAAGTGGCTGGGCACATTCTTGACATTTTCAGTTTTCTATTTTTAACTGAAGGAAACAGTTTTACCTACAGTGTGAAGAACAGACCAAACCAAGCCCAACTAATGTAGCAAAACATTCAGGTTATTTGACACACTTTGCAATTTGCTAAAGCATAACAATATCTAAAGCCAAGAAATAGTAAAGAACAACAAAGAGGTTCAAACAATTGAACAAAATACTCCCCGCCCCAAGGCCTCGTTTTTTGTCTTTTGCTGAACTAATTGAAGGAGCTTCTGAAGCAGAAGTACACTGTTGTAAGTCGAGCAAAATGCTCCAGTGTGTGTGTGTGTGTGCGTGTGTGTGTGTGTGTGTGTGTGTGTGTGTGTGTGTGTGTGTGTGTGTGTGTGTGTGTGTGTGTGTG